TTTTAAACACCAGAGGCTCAGCCTCAAAACTCAAGTCTACATGTCACCACAGTAGGACAAACCAACAGACAAGTTTGTCTTGCTGTTGGAGACCTCTCGTATCACCCCCACCTGGGTCCCTGTGGCTGAATGTACCTCTGTCTGTCTTCCTGGCTTTTAATCCCCTTTCTCCTGCTCTTCTGTCCTGCTGTTTTGTGCGTCCCTGAGTTGTCCCTGGGGCTGACTGCTTCTCTGTCCGAGTTCCTGGCTTTTATCCCCTTTCTCCTGCTCTCCGGTCCTGCCGCTTTGGGCGGGCCTGAGTTTCCTCTCCTCACCTAATCCCTTTGGCTGACTGCTCTTCTCTCTGGCTTCCTGGCTCTTAATTCCCTTTCTCCTCCTCTTCCAGCCTGCTGCTTTGGGTGGGCCTGAGTTGCCTCTCCTCACCTAATCCCTTCGGCTGATTACTCTTCTCTCTGGCTTCCTGGCTTTTAATCCCCTTTCTCCTGCTCTTCCCGCTTGCTACTTTGGGCGTCCCTGAGTTGTCTCTCCTCACCTGTAACCCTGGGGCTGACTCAAGATGACTTTAGGGGATATTTATGGTTTAAGGTTTAAAAATTATCTCAAAACATAGTTTCAGGCGTTCATCCACTCACCATGGTTCCAGAAAGTTTACAGTCCATGAGAATTTGAAATTCTATTCTGCATTTTCCCCTTTTGATCAGGTTTCCCCTATGGAAGGAGCTGCTTAAAATGCTCAGTAACGGCAGCCAGGTACCATCTAATTTTTCTGGTCTCACAGCAAAGAAAGCAGTTGTTCATGGAGGCAATTAGCCACAAATTCCATATGCTCCTCCTATTCCTGACACTCCCTCCTCTGTTGCTCTAGGTGATTAGAGACCAATCCTCATGCTTTGTATAGTCACTTGCAAGTCTTTAAGACCCTAGGCACTATGCAATTAACTGGGAAGTAAAACAGAAGCTCTAATCATATTATTAGATCAATTAATTACGAATCTCATGAATCTCCTAAATCTCCAAACCAAAATCAAAATTCCATGAGATGTTTTTCGTATATAAGCAGCCTCAGCAGTTTTTATTGTTTTCTTTTTCTTCTAGTCACTGTATCAATATATCTATCACACTTCTGCCAATTCAACTTTTTATAGGCATACAACTCATTGACAGCAATTATAATAATTGGCTGTGCACCTCTACCCTCACCTTCCTGATAACATAAAAACTTCTAAAAAAAAAAAAACTCTGAAAATATATTATACATTTTCATATTTTAAATCCATATAATTATTTCCTTGAATCTATGGTTTCCACAAACCAGAGAAACTCTGGAAACCTTAGAGTGTAATTAATTTTAAAAATTCCTTATGAAATTAATCATTGTAACTTGTCAAATAACTCAAAATTTCTATCACCTTGTAGGCAAAATATATAGAGTCCAAATTCCAGCCCCACTTTATAGGGCTTTTCCTTTAATTTAAGTAGACAGGTCTGGCTCTCAAAATACATTTGTTTTTCAAAAGAGACACCTGGCAGCTCTCCAGACACATGCTTATTAACAAAATTGTTCAATATATTCTGATGGTTCATTGGGACAAAAAAGGCAGAGAGGATACATCTGGGTTTTCTGAGAACAAGTTACATGAGCTAATTTATCTTTTATTTTACAAACTGAGCATATGTACAATTGCTCTTATTTTGGCCTTATTTAAGGAGGCACACAAATTAATTAGTTTCTATTGAGGTTGCCTATATTCAATTACCAATAGAGTAAAGATCTATTCCAAATTTCTAAATGCTACTCTAAGAAAAGGAGCTCTGGTAGCATAGTGGCTAAGGCACTTGACTGCTAACCAGAAGGCTGGCGGTTCAAACCCACCAGCCACTCCTCGGAAGGAAGGTTGGGCATTCCTACTTCCGTAGTGATACTGCCTCGGAAACCCAAGGAGGCGTCGCTATGAGTCGGGGCCGACTCAATGACAAACAACAACAACAACAACTCTAAGAAAAATGGAAATTCAATATAATACAGTCAATATTTAACATTTTTGAAAATAGAAGAGATTTTTCAATTTTTTCTTATATGACATATTTTTAACTTAGGTGAAACAGAAAGAAGACTGTAGCACACACTCACCAAAAAAAAAAAAGAAGAAGAAACAATCTGGAAAAGTTACTACTAAAAAAAATAAATAATACTTTCTTCCAGTAACAAATTTCCTTTAAAATAAGTAGTTTCTAATTAGTAAAACAAAACACTTCTGACAAAAGTTCATACCTGATACTCGTAAGTATACTGAAGTTCAGAATCTACCATTTGAACATAACATGTCTGGTCACTTTTCATATAGAATCTAACTTGTTTCTTCCAAGCCCAGTCTTCAGTTGTATGAACCTGAACTTGGTTCAACTGCTTCACCACATCAATATTATGAATAATGTCAAGGATTAGTGCTTTAAGTTTAAGCTCCAGAATGCCAGATTCTGTTCACAAACAAAAACAATTAGAGAAAACTGTTAGCCTGTAACTTATATGCTTCGTGATTATGTCAGGCTGGCAGAAACAGAGTTCCAGGAGAAGCCATCTAGTTTAGGTTTGAAGAACAGGAAAGGGATCTTCAGGTAGCAAAAGCTCTGGCAGCGGGAACCCAGAGGTATCAAAACTCTGAGGGAAGGGAACCATTTTCTGAAATAAGAGACACTATGATCTCAAGAGAATAAGGCAAGGAGGCGGGGCAAGATGGCGGACTAGGCAGAAGGATTGCACAGACCCTCTTCAACAAAGAAAAGGGAAACCAATTAACACAGACACAGAAG